TTATTCTAGATCCTTCTCCCTCTTGTTAGATAACTTGAGCGTATCACTATGTTCATGCATTGGGGAATTTAGTACATATCTTTACCAAAAAAAGGTATTTAAAATGTCAACTTAACGAGGGTGTAAAGCTCATATCATTTCTCACTGTCTTGTGATAATCGGGCTAAAAACGTCTGGGTCTTTCATAGTGAGCAGAAGTGTTAATACACAGAGATCTGTAAGGCATGTAAGCTTGCCAAAATTCGCCCCCTTCAACCCACACGAACTGTTTCTTACTGTATCACTTATTAAGATAGTGTCCAATCAGCTACAACTAGTCCTCTGGTGAAAAAGGTGGACTATTGGACCTTTAGGTTACTGCAGAGACTATACAATATATTATTATAAACTTGTTCCCTTGACAACTGATCCTTGCCTCAGCAATAGTTAATCATAAATGAAAATGATAGATACATCAATAGTAAGCATATATGAGCATTTATTTGTCAATTAACATGTGCAAAAGTGTTGGACTGTTTTCATCTTAGTCAAGAGCATTATTTATATACTTCGTTTTACAATATTATGGACCAGAGGGGCTTAAGCGACCATCAGCATATATGAGTCGTCAAAAGTATAAAGAAAAATCTTAAAAGGTGGAATGAGTATGGGCACATCTGTTAAATTTATAAAGAACACTTGTCCAGAGTACTGAAACTAAGTTGTAGAAAGGATGTACTATTATAATTATCTGTTGCTTATCAAAATAAGTACAACTATTCATGACTCTTTTATAAAGATATATTCAATGAAGTTGATCCTAGGTTTTGATGTTTTATCTTAAGCTTTTCCATGTCTTATGTATGGCAGGACGTGGTAAAATCATGGACCACAAGACATGGCTTTGGAGGAAAAAATCATCTGAGAAGACAATTGTTGTGATTGATAAAGCCAACTTCTTGTCAAAAGGAAAAAATGAAGAGGTATATGGAGACCTCTTATTTGATTCATTATTCAACTTCTTCCCTTCTGTTGTTTAACAAAAGGTGTTGCAAATGCAAGTGAAATGGTCTTTGCATCCCATGTTCTGTTTCAGTGGTGTTAATAGTAAGTTATTTTGTTTCAAATTGTTTCATGGTATTGACATGAAATTTGTTCCTCTGAAACCTCATGCTTTCATTAGTTAAGCTCTTAGCACACTCCTGAATGAAAAATTTCCAATTAGACTTACCTTTTCCCGTCCATTGGTAAATAAAAGTAGTATGTGATATACAAAATGGGAGAAGGTTAAGGGATTCTTTTCACAAATTTGTTACCTATCCAGCCTTTGATTATATCAGTCTTAAATCACTTCAAGAAGTTTAACTTTGTTGTTTTTGATATAAATTTCTGCTAATGTTTCTATGAGGACTTGATTCTCAGCCATCAATCATCATTGGAATAACCGTTCATAATGATGCATGATTGTATTTGGCCATCTTAGGCATTTGGGACACCTAGTTGGCATGCACTGCTGAGGAATTTGCAAGAAAAGAATAGCAAATCATAGCAGAAAATAAGAAACACAGGTTCTAATGTGGTTCAGAAAAATTGTGTACGTCCTCAGGAGAGAGGAATATTTCACTATAGGCAAAAATACAAGAGAATTTGATAATAATAACATCACTATCCTCTATATGCCCATTACTCCTTACTACATTCTCATGCTCTTACAAGACTAACAAATTGGCTTAAATAAGTCCGTAGGGCAAGCCAATTGAGAGAAGCAACTACAAATAAACTCCATTGCCCACAATTACAGTAACACCCTTGAACACATGGCAGAATTACAGGAATGCCCATACTCTTATACTTGATCGTTTATTCTTCAGCATATAGATATATTATAACATGCACTAATTGTTTCCTTGTTATGTTTTCTTGTCTTGGACTTCTTAGATGCATTCCTGTCTCTGCTTCATTGCTTTATGGATGTGGTTATTACCTCTTTTGGTGTCTTCTTTATATCAGGAATATTCAAGATAGCTTTGAACTTGGTTTTTATATGAGCACGAGGCAAAATTTTTGTCTATAAATAGGCCCTCCTTATTGCAAATATAAAACCTGCATCCTCATGTAAATACTTTTATAATATGTATAGCTCTTCAATTTGATGTTCTGTCTTATTTTGACAGGCACATGTTGTGGATAAAGAAGTAGAGTGGGAAAGATCTTTGAAAAATCTGAATGAGAAGCTATCTGCTGCCCTCTCTGAGTGTAGCACAAAAGATGATCTTGTGACAAAACATGCAAAAGCAGCAGAAGACGCCATTGCAGGTTATCTACTATTGCTAATCCCCCCTAACTCTGTAGTTAAGATTTCTATATCCAGTGTTATATTTCCAGTGTGCAGCCTTTTTCCTCAAGCATATTTATTGAAATCTTCTTCAAATTTGGTCTTGACTGATCTAATTGATTCTAGGGTGGGAGAAGGCAGAATCCAAAGCAACGTCTCTTAAGCAAGAATTGGATAAAGCTTTACAACAGAGGGTAGCTACAGAAGAAAGGTTAGCTCAAATAGATGGAGCTCTGAAGGAATGTATGCAACAGTTACGGTTTGTTCGCGAAGAACAGGAGAAAAGGATTCATGATGCTATAACAAAGACATCAAAAGAGTTTGAAAAAGAAAGGATGGATTTAGAGGATAAGTTGGTAGAAACAAATGAAAATCTTGCCAAGTTAGGTGCCGAGAATACTCAATTGAGCAAGGCCCTTCTGGTGAAGGAGAAGTTGATTGAAGAGTTAAATGCAAGCAAGTCTCAGGTAGAAGCTGATTACGCTGCACTAATAGCTAGATTAAATTCCATTGAGAAAGGTAATTCTTCTCTCAAATATGAGGTTCGTGTGCTTGAGAAAGAGCTTGAGATTCGGAATGAAGAGAGGGAATTTAACCGTCGATCAGCTGATGCTTCACACAAGCAACATTTGGAGAGTGTAAAGAAGATAGCAAAACTAGAAACTGAATGTCAGAGATTACGACTCCTGGTTCAAAAGAGATTGCCTGGACCAGCTGCTTTGGCAAAAATGAAAAATGAAGTTGAAATGCTTGGAAGGGATCCAACTGATCAGAGGAGAAGTAAGTCAAGTCCTCCAATGGCAGGTCCAGTGGTAGGATTTGTTTCCAGACACTCTCCTGATGCTCCCAGTAAAAGGATCAATTTCTTAGTTGAACGGTTATGTAGCATGGATGAAGAAAATAAGGCTCTCAAAGAAGCATTAATCAAGAAAGACAGTGAACTTCAGTCCTCAAGGATCATGTATGCACACACAGCTTCTAAACTATCACAAGTTGAGGCTCAGCTTGGAATCTTGATGAAAGGTCAGAAAACTATGGTTCTGTCAAAGAATAGTTCGATACCAAATATGTTGTCCGTTGATTCAACATCTGGTATTGGCAACGATGATGAATTAAGTTGTGCAGAATCATGGGCCTCTGCTTTAATATCAGAACTGGAACATTTCAGAAATGAAAAACCAAAGACACCACTGTCATGCAAATCTGTAGGAATTTCAGACCTAAGTCTGATGGATGACTTTATTGAGATGGAAAGGTTGGCAATTGTTTCTGTGGATACACCTTTGGGAAATTCCCTTGTTTCTTCAGATGAAAGTAATGCAGCTGTGGGGCCCTTGGGAACTGAATCAGCTGTTTATCCCTCAGATGCAGCTGGTAAGGAACTAGTTCCAGTTATGGATAGTCACTCAGGCTTTTGTTACATAACTCAGAAAACCCAACCAAATGATGCATCTCTAGGAAAATATCCTCATTGGCTTCAGGATATCTTGAAGGTAGTGTTGGAGCAAAACCTGGTTACAGGAAGAAGCTTTGATGAGATTCTCAAGGAAGTCAGAGTTGCATTGACAAATACGAATAATTCAAACCCCAGTGAAGCAGTTGGTGCAAGGAAAAGCTCAAGCCATTCAGGAACATCAGATTCGGATCCTCAACATATTAGTGGGTATATTTCATGGAGACCTCCGAATAACTCTCTACCAGTGGATTCATTTGATGAATCATCTGGAATTAGCTTCTCTTCAAAGGAAAATGCGGACCAGAAGCCTCAATCAAATCTTAATAAATCAATCTCTAGACTGATTGAACTTATTGAAGGAATTAGTCAGCCGTCTCTAATGGATTATAGTACCCCTCAGATCTTAGCTGAGAATGATGGGAATTCTTTACCATATAAGAATTCAGCAACTCCCACAGGTTACATGGTTCGTATTTTTCAGTGGAAAAGTCCTGAACTCACTGCTGTTCTGCAGAATTTTGTCAATGCTTGTTATGATCTGTTGAATGGAAAAATTGATCTTGAAAACTTTGCCAGAGAGTTAACTTCAGCTTTGGAGTGGGTTACGAGCCACTGTTTCTCCCTTCAAGATGTTTCAAGCATGAGGGATACAATCAGGAAACACTTTGATTGGGATGATGCCAGAAGTGAAACTGAACATGAGAATGGTTCACTTTCAGAAACAGATAAAATACATTCTATTGAAGAACCACTGCCATGTTTGCCTTTAGTTGGTGTCTCAAATGGTGATAGTAATGTATCTAAAATGGAAAAGGTTCAGTCTGTCCTGAATGAAGAAAATAGGAGATTAAAGGATGAGCTGAAGTGTGTGGAATCTGTGAAGAAAGATTTGGAACTGCGGCTCCAATCAGCAACTGAAAAGAGTGAATCCTTGATGAATCAGATTCATGAATCGAGAAAAGATATTACAAGTTTACAAGCACAACTAGAAACTTTGAGAGAATCAAAAGGGACTATGGAGGATCAGATTGAAAATAACAAGTTAGCTAATGAGGACCTTGATGCCCAGCTTAAAGTTGCCAGGGTTGAATTAAATGAGTCTCACAAAAGGTTTCCATCTCTGAAGTTGGAGCTTGAGGATAAACGTAATTGTTGTGTAGATTTAGAGGCGACTTGTCATGAATTAGAACTCCAATTAGAAAGGTACACTTTTCTTTTCATTCCTAAATGTTTTTGGAATTCAACTAAATTTGATTCCACAGAGATGTAAATCTCAGATTGCGGTAATATTTTATTCTCAGTGTAACAAAGAAGGAAAATCCAAAGCATGATCCAGATCAAGAGGAAAAGCAATTTCAAACTGTAAGAACCCATTTCTTTATAATAACAACAACATTTTTATTGTACAGATAAATAATTAAGTCTTTAATGAACTAAATCATCATGATGAATTGAAACAGTAGTAAAGGTTCTTTTTATATGCCTGTGTGTTTTGTTTTTTTACTATAAAAAATAGAATGTTAACTTTGTGGTTAAGAAAATAATTTCTATTCTATAGTAGTATAAATTGTAGATTTGATAATTATATCATGCTTGACATTATGCATAGAATGGTAATTTATGTATATAACTTGGTGCTATGTGCTAACATCTGCCAAATACAGATTGTATACTTAAATTGTAAACATGACCTGTTTCATAAATCAATTAATGTTTTCTTCACTATGGAAAGACTTTGAGCATCATCATATGAACATGTAGGGGTGGATTCGGGCCTAGCTGAGCTAAGCCAAATATCTGGCTATTTGAGCTCGGCTTGTTAGAAAAACATAAGGCTCGAGTTCAGGCTCAGGCTCGAGCTCGATTTGAACAAACATGAGCTCGACAATGTGCCAAGTTTCATATAAAAAATAAAAAATTCTACATGTAGAAAATTATAATTTGTGTATTTAACTTGGCGCTATGTGCTAACATTTGCCAAATACAGATCATATACTTAAATTGTAAACATGACCTGTTTCATAAACCAATTAATGCTTTCTTCACAATGGAAAGACTTTGAGCATCAATATATGAACAGGTAGGGGTGGATTCAGGTCGAGCCAAATATCTAGCTATTTGAGCTTGGCTTGATAGAAAAACATAAGGCTCGAGTTTGGTCTCAAGCTTGATTCGAACTACAAAAATGAGTAAATAATTTTTTAAAAATGTATTTCTTATTATACATTTAAAAAATTATTTACTCATATACATATAAAATCTTTAAAATATTATATATAATATAGGCTTGATTAGGCTTGCAAGCTTCGCAATTCGAGCTTCATTGGTCTTGAGCTTGATTAGCAAATGAGCCTTTAAATTGGGCCCAAACTCGGCTTAAAGGTTGGTTTAGACCGAGCTGAGCTTGAATTGCTCTTTAAAACCTTGATTCGTGTCCACCCTTATGAACATTTCATTACCAAATGTTGTCCCAGCTATGTGGGGTCTTGGGAGGGGTGGACAGGATATGGTCCTAACCTTTGGCATTTATTTGCAAAAGTGGTCAATCATCATATGAACAGATGACTGGTATAATTACTTCCTGACTGAAGAAAAACTTCCTTGGACTTAGTATATGATAAAATAAATGCAACAAAGCTTTAAAGAGAACAAATCAGACTAAAGTAGGATGAAGAACATCCTTCATTTATTTTTTTCTTTGCATCCATATATTTGGAGGGGCAAGAAATTAGCAGCAAGCTATCTGGGTTTCTTTTACATGGACATTTAAAAAAAATATTGTAGAGAAGGTAAGAGGCTCCAATCTTTATTGTATTAATAAATAAAGAGTGGAAAAAAAGAGGTTTTCAGTGGGGAATAGAAGAAAAGAAAGAAAGAAATTAGCCATCCATTGGCACACTATTAACTTTAATTTCATATTAATACTTATAGCAGAACTACTTGGCGTGCATTACTGCATTTTTTGAACAGATAAAGATGTAGGGACCTCAGGCAACTCTTAAAAAATTTTATCAACAAATACAACCTAAAGAGTTAGATGGGAAACAAGGAAAAGTTACTCCTAATCATTACATAAGGATTTCATTCCCACCAACACTACTACAAATAAAGTAGAAGAAAGGGGATGGGGTGAGTCAGCCTTAATCTTATTGACATGGAAACAAATGGGAAAAAATGTTAACTTTCTTATGTGGATGTATAATGTGCAGAATAAACAAATAAAATCCTGGTAGAAACCCAGGATACAGAGATATAGTAGAGCAGAATGAAGAGAAGAAGAATAGGAAGAGAATAGGGCTCGAGACAGTCTGAATCGAGAGACCCAACTACCGCCCACTTAATATATTATGGGGAAAATTCTCGATTAGTACCCTGCACTTTGGGCCTAGTGCCACTTTGGTCCTCAAACTTTAAAACATGACAATTCAGTATCTGAACTTTCAAAACGTGCCAATCCAGTACTTGCTGTTAACCTGCCATTAAGTGGCATTTGAAAAGACATAAATACCCTTTGAGAGTCACCTAATTTTCTTTATTAACCATCCAAATGTTGACAAAAAATGAACAGTCCCAAATCATTCTCTTCTATTCAAGAAAGTTGGGGTTATGTCTCAGTGGGCATTCTGGTGACCCAAACTTTCTTGAATAGAAGAGGCATGGATTTGGGACTGTTCATTTTTGGTCAATGTTTGGATGGTTGATAAAGAATATTAGATGACACTCAAATGGCATTTCTGCCTTTTCAAATGCCACTTAACAGGTGGTTAAGTACTAAATTGACACATTTTGAAAGTTTAGGGTACTGAATTGTCATGTTTTAAAGTTCAGGGACCAAAATGGCACTAGGCCCAAAGTACAAGGTATTAATTGGAAATTTTCTCTATATTATATTCATAAAAACAAAAATTACATAAATACCCCTGATTATGAGACTTAAGAGAAGAAACACTTTAGTGCCATAAATAAAAGAAGGAAAAAGACTAAAAAGCCCCTGCATAAATCATGACTAATTTAACGGTAGAAATCCACTGTTCTACCTGTAAAAACATCTCTGAAGTTATTGTTTGTTGCAGTATGTACTGTGTTTACGATTGAGCCAACCATTATAAGCAATATTGTCTGCCTGTACACTGCTCTCTGTACAGATATAGCTCATCAGTCCTACCTAATTTGCCCAACAATGTCAAAAGACACTGTGGAGGGAATGATTAATAATTTGATTAGGCTGTGTTTGGAACTGATGTAAAACGTCATTGATGTAAAAGTACACTGGTGATGGTTTACATTGAACCATTAAAAAGTAACCATTTGAATTTTGAAAAGTGTGCATGAGAAAAGCGGGGTTCTACATCGATTTTATTGATGTAATATTTACATCGATAATCAATGTAAAACTCGACTTTAATGAACTTTTACATTGATTTATGATGTAAAACTCCACTCCATCCAAACGTATGCAAAACTGAACCGGAGTGGAGTTTTACGTCAATCATGATTGTACACTCCTTCCCAATGCTGACAAAATCGAACCGACGTAAATATTTACACCGATGACGTTTTACATTGGTTCCAAATGCAGCCTTAGGTACAACCTTGCAACTTCTTCATCTAGAGCGCTCTGTTACCAAGTTCCCAGTACTACTGCAATTCATTTAGAAATGATTTGGTTTGAGCAACCATGTTAAAACAATGGCCAGAAGGCATGGAAAAAAGAATAGTAAATACCAGTCTTGCATGGGCTCTCCTAAATGGATGATGTGTCCATGTCAGACACACGTTGGAATCTGATACTCCATAGATTCTTAAGGACATTTCTATGAAATATTTGCATTTTACTCCTAGCTTATTTGACATAAAGTAACCGCTGATGTACAAGATAAATGTCATCTTTCATATCAAATGTTACTAACAAAGCGAACAATGATTGCAGGTATATAATGTTAGAATTCAAAATTTATGAACTATTTTAATACTATATGTTTTTTCATAGAAGTATGCATGAGTCCATGTTTTCTCATCTTGCTCAGTCATACTTTTCCAGCATTTGATTCTGACTCCTATGTCCATGCAACACCGTTAAATACCCTAGCCTTTTGCTCCTTCAGAAACTAGTGACCATGCCAGCTTTGAGTTCAACCGGAAAACATTCTTCTGAATGAGAAGGGGACAATTCCAAGTAGGTGATCCGTGGGTTAGCATAGGGATGCCAATGGGTTGGGCTCAGTACTAGCTGGTCTTATCCCAGACCTGACCTGGCTTCACCGTATCCCACCTCAAATATGAATAGAGCTTGCCAAGCAGTGTCAGGCACACATCAGAGCATGGTCGGGTGAGATAAAAGATGAAAATTTTCAATGAAAATTAAATAAAAATAAAACAAATAAAATTATAGGGAATAACCTAATAAGAAATGAAAACACTTGATGTCTACACAAAAACATTACATATTTATATACACAGTCTCAATGGTGGTCCTAGCCATCTGGGGTTTTGGGAGGTAGACTGGACACAAACCTAATCTTTGACTTTATTATTATTATTATTATTATTATTATTATTATTATTGTTATTATTATTATTATTATTATTACTGGAATGGGTTGACATTTTACATCTCAAAACTAACCTCAACCCAATTGGGGGCTCTTTATTCCAAAAGCCTTTTGTGCCAAGGATGTTTAATACCACAATCTTTTATATGACGAAGTTGATTTGACTGAAGTTTTGCTCAAATGGTTTTTGAAATACTTTTTACTCTAACCTGTTATAAATTATGTTTTCGCCATGTATTAATTCCAATTGTCTTGAACCAACTTTTTAGGACCGGGAGATCACAGCTGCTTCTGAAAAGTTGGCAGAGTGCCAAGAAACTATCTTAAACCTGGGGAAGCAGTTGAAGGCATTGGCTTCACCCAGGGAGGCAGCTATGTTTGATAAAGTTTTCTCCTCCCCTATCACTACCACCGAAAACAAGAACATGAGCACAAACCATCGATCCTCCCTACTTGATCAGATGCTGGCTGAGGATGATGTGACCGAGTCTCCCACGACAAAAGAAGTTATATGCACAGGAGATGCCAATAAACTTCCTAGTCATCCCTCCAATAACTCCAATTCCGTCCATGGCCCCATCGCCCCAGTAAAATCTCTAGAGAATGCTCTTAGTTTAAAGAAAACTAAGCACAAAAATGAGACGACCACTGTCGAAGTTCTCGCTATTGTGCCAATTAAGAAACGTACAGGTGGTTCAGGTCTGCTGAGAAAGTTACTGTTGCGAAGGAAGAGAGGGAACAAGAAAGCATCCAATTCCGTCGCTGTTGTGTCATGATGAGGATGAAGTGGTAACAACAAGAGTATGATCAGGGTTTTGCTTTAATAACTTTGCCTTTCGCAAGACCATGGAGTTGGAAATAATGAGAGAGAGAGAGAGAGTCCTGTTGTGCCTGCATCAGTATGTATTGTTGGATTCCCGTTGTATATATTTGACATTGCGATTACATGGGAGCTGTGTTCATTTCATGTTGCCACCGACGTAACTGTGTCTTCCATTAGTTTGAAGGCATGCTTTTATACTGATCAAACATTTCGGCAGTTGCTTTTGTCATGGAAAACAAAGTACGGACAGGTCAGATTTATAAACATTCAAAATGTTCAAAACCCCACTTTATATACAATGCCCGCCCATGAATTTACATTAATTTCGAGCTGGTATCTACTCCAACTATACTTTGGCTGACCCTGGGATAAACCGTCATTCTCCCAAAAAAAACCATTTGCATCAGTCAACACTCCCTACGTCATTCTGTTGCCGATGACTTGCCTTTCTGGCATTTCTTCAAGATGGTATTAGGTATTGAGGTGGAATCCACTGTGCACTTCCATTCATTCTGTGGCAGGTGTCTCGTTACAATTGTGGTCTAATATGCATGATATGGGATCCAAATCTAAGCACATGTTTGTGCTGCACTAATGGTACACTTGCATTCAGTATGTCTGTATGTCACAACTCACAAGGACAAAGACTATATACACATGGCTATTTGTCTACTCCAGAATTTTCCCTGGCATTATGCATGTGGCTGGTGAGTAAACTCTTGATTTTGCTCTGATCAGATGGACGGTGGGAATCGTCTAGGTTACCCGCATTGCAGATAAATCATGGTTGACTTTGCCCCATTCGTGTGGATAGCATTTTCCATATATTCAATATTCAATGGAGCTTTTTCGCCTTTTGCCAAAAGATTCAAGGAGTTAATGTTGGGGTCCAATGGCCTGTTGACTGTTGTACGTTCTTAACATTACACGTTAACCCTAAGTTTTCCAACAGCCAAAGTTTTCTCGTATCACTACAGAGTTGATGCATGCTAGCTAATGAGATTCCATTTTGACCCTTTTTTTACTCGAATTCAGAGGAGAACCCTTGTTTATCGTTCTTCGGTTATATTTGGATGCGATGTATACGATATAAAATTTTACACTCTTCCACCCATTACTATTTTCAGAAAAGCAACTGTTACTTTCTGGTTCAGTGTACACTCATTCCTCTACTGATTTTTCTAACGCCGGCATTAATTCCAGCGGTCCACCGTCGGAAGGTAGTCACTCCTGTATTCTTATTATTTTTTTCTTTCACTGCAAAACATATGGGAGAGGGGTTTTTTCACCACCGACAAGGTGGAATGAACTCAACCCCTATGCTGAAGCACCGCGTTTGCCGTTGTTCCAATGACTGAAGCTATAATCGAGAAAAGTGAGGAGAATCCAGCTGTGGCAAAGTTATGAATTGTTCGGATCCGCATGTTTTGGTTGCGATTGCGAAGTTCAATCTCAAGGTATTTAAGTCAACTGTGTTCTTGGATTATTAGACACCTGTTAACGGGTTGAAGCTCAATGAGTGTGACATGACTTGGAGGTTTCGAAATAAGAAGGAGAAGTACAGAAACTTTTAGAATCGGCATTAAAGAGGATTGTAGCTATGTGGTTGCCAGCGCAAGCCGGTGGCATTCAAGGATCAATGCAACGCTACAGAGGCCTAAGTTGAATTCAACATTGAGCACATGAGGTCCTAAGAATCCGAATCCTCCATCGATTCGCGACGACAATATTAATGACATGATCCCAATGGTCTGAAGGTGAAAAATGTTGCCGGTGATGAGGGGTGGTGAAAAAACCCCTCCCTCTTCTAGTTTGCAGATTGTAGTCAAAGAAAAAAATAATAAGAATTCAAGAGTGGAAGTGTGACAAAGATGAGAGAGACAGAGAGTTTATTACCTTTTGACGGTGTGACCGCCGAAACGAATGCCAGCATTGAAAAAAACAATAGATTTCGATCGAAGACGAAAGGACGGTGTAAACAGGGGTTCTCCTCTGAAATCGAATAAAAAAAGAGGATCGAGAGGGAAAGGGATCCCCGTTAGCTAGCAGCCTAGCATGCGTTAGCTCCACACACATAAAGATAGAGCTCGTGTGGGAGGACACATGTCCTTGTCCTTGTGTCCCTGTTTCATTGTGTGGGGCGCTGATGCAAATTCACCCGTCATCACATGCCTCGATTAATTTTTCTCTCATACATATCGAAAAATTTACCAATTCAAACCTAACCAAAATTTTTATTCAACCCTGTTTGCTTGCTAACAGAGGCCCAAATTGGTGGACAATCCCAGCTACCAATTTGCTAACCCTTGACTATTTCAATCAAAGACAGACTTTGATCGGAGAAAATAGTTTGGCCTCTTGGCTTGCGGGCCTGAAAATGACATGGTGATTTTATTTCAAGAACAAACCACGAGTTAATGTTTGACGTACGGTGCAGTGGGAACAGACTCATCCGATGCCAGTATTATCATTCGATAATACTCGGCCACATTAAAAAAAATATATATATCTAGCATAGAGCCACATTATAATTTATAAATTGAAGTCATGATCGCTTGAAGGAATCCGTTTGCTCTATATACGGGCATCTTAAGGAGATGCGTTGTCATGGACACACCTTCATGCATTGTTGTAAAAATAGTAAAAATAGAAAGGTAGAATGGAATTTATCAGTAATCGCTTTTTAAGTCGAAGTTGTATTGATGTGATGTTGTTGTAGAAATTTGGAATTAAAAATTGCAGGGAGAGTGAGGGCTAAGTCATGCCACTTGGTCATTCTCCTTAAAACCGCATTTGCCCCTACGGTGCAGGCAGGTGATCGTAAATCGGTCGCCAAGATAAAACAACCCGTACGCCACTGATAAGCGTGTATTCGCTTAGCAGACTTTCGCGAATCACAAAAAGGTGATGCTCAGATTTCATAGAAAACAAAGAAAAAGACTATCGAAAATTGTGTGTGAAAACTGGGTCGACCATCATCCCTTTTATAGATTGGTCTCAGACCCAAATGGGGACATATGTGTCATTTCATACAGGAGCCTCTTTAAAACAGTGCACATGTTCAAAGAGGCACGAGGAGGAAAAAGATAAACAAAAAAAGCAAACAATTTATTTTTAAAATTAAATTTGAATTTGAAGAGACATTTTAAAAATGTGTAATTCAGTTAAAACAAAATGATCCAATGCATCGCACATACACGTACACATACGTGCACCCGCACCTACGCCCTGACTTGGCCCAGTTCGGCACGCGCGTATGAAAAGCACCCCCAACCCCCCTCACATGCATGGAATATCTATAATGCTCTCTTCTTATGGGTCCCTACCCATAGAGAGAGCAAAGCTACAAATATACTCAACTTCCACTCATTTCCCAAACAATGTGAGACAAGGAGTCTTCCCATGCACTCAAGGGTGGCAAGAGGAAAAGACAAAAATAAGAGGGATGAGAGAAATTCTTAAAAATTTGAATCTCCCTCCAACAATCCCCTATAAGATTCAAAATTACAAGAAGATCGAACAATCTGAACATCGCAGTGAGAAAAGTATTCATGGTGATGTCTTTTGGATTTCAATCAACACTTAGGTATGACAGGCTATGTTATAGAGTACGGGTGGAGTCAGACTCCTTCAACCTTTCCTCCTTATCGTAATTACTTAACCGGCCAATCAACTCAACTCACCAGTTCTTTAGTGGTTCTTTTGTTTTGGAACATTTCGGCCATGTTCCCCTCTTGGAATCAAGAGTGTTTTAGAGAGTCAGCCCTTAGATCTCTCTTAGAAGTTGACACACTTCACACTCACTTAAAACAGTTATTAGCGTGCACTGCACACACTATTCTTAATTGATTAAGAGTCACATGCTCAACATCCTCAAACTATAATAAGCACTATCTTACCTCGGCATCTGAAATGAAACACAAATTGATAGTGCTTTCCCAAGTCATCTAGCGACTCATTTTTACCCATTCAACTTAATTTCAGGGATCTCCTTTCACATAGGTTGGTTGTCAATCACCAATAACTTTGTAACGGGCTTCAACCCCATTCCTACCGATGCCTCATAAACCACCTTAGAAGTTTATGGTTTGGTTAACAAATCTGTAAGGTTCTTTTCAGACCTTACAAAATCCAAAGCGATTATACCTTAATTGAAATATTGTCTTACCAAGTTATGCCTTAAATGGATGTGCCTTCTTTTACCGTTGTACGTTTGGTTATTGGCTTTAGTTATTGTTGCTTGGCTATCACAATGGAGAGATATGGACCGAACCGGCCGTGGCCAAAGTGATATATGCCAGCAAGTTCCTTAGCCACTCTGCATCGGACCCCGCCAATTCTAGTGCAATGAACTCGGCTTCCATTGTTGAACTTGTATTGCGTGACTTCTTTACCGATTTCCACGATACTGCTCCTCCACACATATCCACTTGTAGAAGTACTATCCTTTGAATTTGAAATCCAATTCGCATCAGTAAAGCCCTTTAAAACATGAGGAAAACCTGAGTAATGTAAACCAAAATTTATGGTTCATTTTAAATATTTTAATAATCTTACTAGAGCTTCCCAATGTTCATTTATGGGATTATGAGTATGCTAACTTACTTTTCTCACAACTATAGCTATGTTTGGTCTTGTACAGTTTATTAAAATATAGATCCAATTATACTTGCATACTCCTTTTGTGAAACAGGTTCTCCTACATGTTTCCTTAAGTGTGAATACTACGGTCAATAGGTGTTTTAACCGGTTTACAATCATAGTGTCCAAATTTCCTAAGGATACTCTCTGCATAATGTGATTGGGAGAGAGTAAAGTTTTCATGTTCTTTGTGAATTTTAATCCCCAATATTACATCAGCCTCACCAAAGTCCTTGGTATTTGGACATTATAAATTGTTTTGTTTTTTTTACTACATCTAGATTAGTTTCCATTATTAACATATCATCAACATATAGACAAATCACGATTCCTTTATTATTTTCAAATTTGTTACAGACACATCTATCATAATCATTTCTACTATATCCATTAGTTACTAATACATTATCAAAATTTTCATGCCATTGTTTCGGAGCTTGTTTTAAGCCATATAGAGACTTAATTAATTTACATACTTTGTTTTATTGTCCTGGCATTATGAACCCTTCAGGTTGTCTAATGTAAATTTTTTCCTCTAATCCCCCATTTAAGAAATCTGTTTTCACATTCATTTTATGAACTATCCGTTTGTAAATGGATGCTATAGCAAACAAAACTCTAATTGTTGTTAATCTTGCAACCGAGGAGTAAGTGTCAAAGAAGTCTGCATCTTTCTTTTGTCTAAACCCCTTAACAACTGATATGGCTTTGAATTTATCCATCGTGACATATGGTTTTAGTTTTTTCTTAAAGATCCATTTACAATCTAGTGTCTTAGTTCCAAGTGGGAGATCTACAAGTTCCCATGTGTGATTAGTGATTAAAGAGTCTATTTCACTTTCTATGACTTCTTTCCAAGATACTGCATTAGGTGAAGTTACAGCTTCCTGATAAGTTACCGGGTCATTGTCTACTAGAAATGTGAACATTCCGTCACCAAAGTTTGTTTATCTTTTTTGTCTTTTACTTCTCTTTAAGTCTGGTTCTTGTCTAAGTGAAGTACTAACTCATTGAGCACTCACTTGTTATTGGTTTTTAGTTTGGTGTTGGGAAGGTTCCCTATTTATTGTTTATTTTCTCCAATGAAATATGTACTCAAAGAACTTTGCATATTGGGACTCTATTATTGTGTTGTTTTCGACAATATTTTCAATTGTTTTAATTACGAGGAATCGATAAGCTACACTATTTTATGCATATCCAATGAATATACAGTCATAAGTTTTTTGTCATAATTTATTTATTTTAGTTTCGGGTATTCCAACATTTGCTAGGCAGCCCCAAACTTTTAGATAGTTCAAACTAGGTTTTCTGTTATGCCAAAGTTTAAAGGGTATTTGTCCTTCATTCTTGGGTAGTATTCTATTGTAAAGGTGACAAGCCATTAGGATTGCTTCCCCCCACAAATTCAGAAGCTAATTAGCATTGCATTCATCATTTTCTTTAATGTTCTATTCAATTTTTCTGCAACTCCATTAAATTTAGGTTGATAGGGAGCTATGATTCCATTTTCCTCACAGAAATTTATAATGGTTTGTTCAAAGTCTTTTTTTTTCCTAACTGATTTTCTACTTCAGTTTTGTAGTTTATGAAAGTTTGATCAACATCATCATTTGATATAAGTAAAACTACTTTTCCATATATAGAGAAATCATCTATAAATGTTATATAGTATATTTTTCCTCATATAACTTTATGACATTTAAGATCTCCTAGATCACTGTGTATAAGTTGTAATTCTATTTCTCTCTGTACACTTTTATGATGTTTCTTAGTGAATTTTGTTTATACACATACTTGGCATTTTTCATTTGTAAAATTAATAGAGACTTTCAAAACTCCGAACTTGCATAAATGTTTTAAATAAGGAGCACTACGATGTTCTGGTTTATCATGCCAAATATCAAAAGATTCAACGATATAAGCAGAAGAAGAAATAGTTTTATTCATAACAATATAAAAAATATTCAGTACAAACAGTCCTCCAACATTATATCATTTTCCAATAAATACATTATTTTTAGTCAACACAGCCTTGTCTGCTTCAAATGTGAGTTTCAGTCATACTTTGTTGATGAGTGCTCCCGATACCAAGTTCCGTCGAATCTTCGGCACATGCATCACATCATTTAGCATTAGAATTTTTTCTGAAGTCAGTTTCGGCTTATCAATTAAGTTTACCTCAGTTACCATGGTTGTGATAACATCCTCAGTCAAATTGACTTTCGGTTTCCTAGAGTCATTCTTCTTTCGGTATCGACAATCCTTCTTGTAATGTCAAGATTTGCCACATACATAGCAATTTCTTTTCTTTTGTTGCTCATTGAATTTTTGATCATTTTTCACATTCAAGTTATTTTTTAATTTTGCAGTCTTTTCTTCCACTATATTGGTTTTGGAAAACTAGTCCTCATATTTCCTTTTGTTATTTTTTTCTATCTTAATTCGGACCACTACTTGGTCCAAAGTAATGCCATTTCTCTTATGCTTCATACTAGTTTTGAAATAATTCCATATATGTGGCAATTTCTCTATGAGAGAATCGATAATGAATTCATCTAGCAGTACCATGCCTTCCTTTGCTAGTTCCCCCACAAGAACCTGGAACTCATCTATTTGGGCAGACACGTCCATGTCTTATTTCATGGTGAAGTGCAGGAAGTTGATAATTACATATTTTTTATTTCCGGCATTTTCCAGAGCATACTTATTATCTAATGCATTATAAATTTCATAGGCAAAATTGTAAAAAGAATAGACATTATACGGTTCATTAGACAAGTAGTTTAGGATATGGTTAGTGTAGAGGTGGTTGATTGTAGTCCAGTGTTCTGCAACAACAGAATGGGCTGGTTCCTCCATGTTCGATGGATTCAGTTCAATCAAAGCAAATGTTACCCCTATTTGTTGTAAGGCAAAAAACAGGCGTTGTCTTTAACACTTATAGTTGGTTCCATTGAAGAGTTCAATCTTAGAAAAGTTGGAAACTATTGACAATATCTGGTTTCTCATGAAGGGATTAGCAGTGATAGATTTCATAAATGCGGTTTTAAGATGCATTCACCACACAATTGCTGATTATAGATGTGTTCACTATGTTGTAAAGTTCTACATGTTGGTGTGTCTAGCTCATTATGCTATTACATGGTCTTTGTCTCATTTCCACCATCTTAAAAAAAAATAAAAACCTGTAAATCCAAATAAATAGTAGGTAAACAAAGACATGGTCATAAACGAGACCTAAACTTAATAAATGGATATTCTTTATTGTTAAAGTAAGAACCCAAACAAGTGCATTCCACCGGATATCAATCAATCGCATTAAATTTTACTTATATTTTTTACTAAGTAACAATATGTATTTACCATCTCTTTCAATCAATTCCATCATTTGAAGAAATATTTCCTACAGACGAATTAGCCATGGAACAAGCGAACCAGGTAGCTAATTGAAAAGAATAAAAACCGGGTAACTATTATACAAACTACGATTCTACGAAGAACTAGTAGGGGAGAGAGAGATACGGTAGTGAAGTAGGGAAGGTACGCCACTAGATTTCAAAATAAAAGCAACGACGCCCCATCTCAGGTCTTTCCCCCCAATTTTATTTCCCCGCCCGCGCTATCCTCATCGCATTCAATTTCAGCATCTGACGCGTTTTCCTACTTGCAATCTCGCATTGGACGGCGCTGTGCGCGCTTTTGCCTTCTCCAACCATTCGCCCATCTTTCCCACGGGAAATTAGGGTTTCCAAGGCTGATCCGCCAAAAACTCCACTCTCAACACAATCGTCGTCCGCCTTAACTGTTGCATCTCAATTTACGCTGCGTCGTCCACATTTACAACGATTTCAATGTCGTCGAGGGCTACGCCTTCGGCTTCCGCCAGCAGATCAGATCCCTCTAAGGACTCTCAGGTATTCCCTTTTCTTTTTTCCTTTCCTCAATGGACAATGGCCCATCTTTTTCTCTTGTTTCTCTCTCTATCTCTCTCTCTCTCTATATATATTGTCTACGGGTCCTGCATTACTATTGCAGAGTGCGGTGAAATGAATTACAGTGACCTTTGTTGTCTAGTAACAATGGTGAGATGGATGCATTTGTTTCAAAGGCGGGTAAGCGAAGCAAAAATGGAAAAAAGGAAGATAACTAGAGTTTACTTAAAAAAACTTGTCATAAGCACTAGTCAACTCAGAGTCTTCCATAAAATAGGAAATCCATTCAACGTTAAAAATTTTATCTCCTTGCTTTCCTTCCTTACATTACCAACTAGAACTTCAGACCCTCTGTATGATTTGATTAATTTGAATGCAGTTGTTTGATCTTTTAATTAGGTAATTGGGTTTAGAGAGCCTTACGCAGGGATCACACTTTCTCCATTTCTCCGGTATCATTACTTGTTGCGTGGTGTCATTATATGAATTTATTCAAGGGTCATATTTGGGCTCAGTTTGGAAAGAGTACAAATACAAATATGTACGGTATAAATACATACAACATGATATAAAAATAATATAAAATACAAGGTTTTGCACTCTACAAATTTGTATTTGTACTCCTTCCAAACTAAGGCTAAATGTATCATTAGGGCTAATGCGTACAACTACACTGTGTTTTGCTTTTTAATAATGCCTGATTTTTAAGGAATTTCAAAGTGGCAATTATAGTTTGAATTTAATGACAAGGTAATCACTGAGGGAGGCTTATAATTGGGAACAAGGTGAATGAGGATCGGAATTTCAGTATTGGCCTTGGGATACCCTCATAGCAGATCAGAGAGGCGGAATCCTTGGTAATCAGAGTGAAGCCCTTGTTCCATTGGGTTCCCTGTCTCACCTCTCACTAGAAGATAATCTAGCAAGAGAAGGGATGAGGAATGTTACTATCATCTCAATTTTTGTATGTTTGGTAGGAAGCCTGTCTGAAATCATAGGTAGTTTCAGATTTTCCTTTTGGTTCAAACCATTGGATTTTTTACTGATACTTTTTACTTTTACAAATTAATACAGTTCTTTTACCATTATCAATAAAAAGTTGAAATTAATGAAGTTTCTGAACAATGTTGAGGATGAAAGGTATAACAATTTTTCTATGTTTGACTATCGTGTAATGCTTAAAGCCTTAAACTCATAAAATCTGGTCGTGAATTTGGCCAAATGGTAGACTAAGAAGGAGATTCTCATTATCTTTTAATAGGTGGTGTAGAGTTTGTAGACAAGCATGTATGGCTTAGTGAACTTTCTGGATTTACAGAACACAGATTATGGTTATTAAATTCATAACTCAGGTGATGAGTTTTTAAAATAAAATATAAATCCTAGAGTAGCTCCCTAGGTTTCATAGTAATCAGCAGTAATCTTTAACTAATAATCACCACAATCCTCATGAAATAGTAACCTCATATCAAAGCATAGAAAAGCAACATATTTACGAGAAGAAAAAGAACAAAGAAGTAGAGGGTTTCTCTTGTGTGTTGATTGGGTAAAAACTTCAAGTTCTTTCACATTTATACGTTTTTATTATTTTCTTATTTGTTTGGGTTTAAATGGCACACAAATCTTCAAGTTCTTTCTCACTTATAGGTTCAGTTTTGAAGGATTAAAGGGTTCAAGACTATGTCACCGACTTGTGTGCCATTTAAACCCAAACAAATAAGAAAATAATAAAAAGAAACTGGTATAAGAATAAATAAGCATATTATAAACCTGAAAAAATGAATAATTTAGTGTAATAATATCTATTTTAATATTATTAATATCATAAAACAAAAATATAAAAACATTATGTGGCACTTTATATAAAAATATGTAGGTGCTTGGGCAAGGTAACCGTCCAAGGATGCCTTTTTTGTCTAGGCATTGTCTTGAAAGAAATTTCCTTCGAGTTGAACTTGTTGCTCTTCTTTATAGGTTAAAATTAGCCTTCTCATCAGGTTGAAATGTAGTTGTAGCAGAACTGCATGCCTGTCAAGTAATTATTGGTTGGATTTCTGCATGCAGAGATACACTTTGAACTCTAGGACATCTTTGGCTGCCAGGCAGAACTACTTGTTTGGGTGGACTCCCAGATCAATTAGTGGCTTAGATGATTTATTAGCAAGGAAAGGGGTAAGTTCGACTTGTTTAGCATGGGGTTACAAGACCTAGAGGAACATTCTGCTAAGGTTTCTTTACTTCTCTTGAAAATGTCAGCTATGTACTAGTTCCATATGGTCCAACTACATAAAATGCTATGGATTTTCTTACTTATTGTACTACATGAATGAAATCCTTTTGATCATTCTTTCTGATAATAAACAGAGAACTTAAAAAGCCAGTTGTTTCTAGTAGTTATTTTGAACCTTGCTAAAATGATTACTATAGATTCTCCTCCTTTATAACACTTCTTAGGCACATTATGTTTCTGTTCTCCAATGTTTTCAATTTGCTTCTAATTATACATCGATTTGACAGATGTTGGGGGTCCAAGGATCAAATCAAAGTTCCAAGGACATTCTGTCAGTTATTGATTCTTTGAAGAAACAAGTTGCTGTTGAGAGATGCATCTTTATAAAGGTGAGTTTTCTTGGTACCTATTTTCAATATTGGAGCTTGTATTCTAATGGTTCTAGCCCTTGAAAGTATAAGCTGCTTATTTATTTATTTACAGAAAAGAATGGTGGAAAACAATGAAAAGCTGATCGGTGTTACAAATCATGTTTATACACTGTCAAAAGAGAGAAGCAACAGTGTGATAAATAATACTGAAAAAAATCTAGACCTGCTGACAAAGAGGCAAAGAGATGCATTTGGTATGCTGAATGGTCTTGATTTGACTAATGGTGAAAAGGATAAGAATGGTTCTCAGGAAGATAGCTATGCCTCATCAGCAGTTCTTGTAGGTTCTAGTTTCGGAATGAAGAATGTTGTTCGCCCCATCAAGCTTCCAGAAGTGAAGAAATTGCCTCCTTATACTACATGGATATTTTTGGATAGGTGTGTCATGCAACTATGTACTTGCACACATTAATTTTCCTTTGTCATATTTATTCTGCGATGTATGCCATATTGGATGTTCCTTTTATATATATTATTGTAAAATATGGGTTATTTATAGGTGATTAATATCAGTGTTTGAATTGACAAATGACATGAAATTGGCTAGTTTTATATTTTTATGCTTGTTTATCTGCATGGTCTTACTCTTGCAACCTGTTTCTCTAGATGACTCATTATCTTCATGGGAAGAGTCCTCTTGGTATGATTTTTGTCAGGTGGTTATTATTATTTTTTTATCAATAAAAAAATAATGGTTGTATGTGCTAGAATTTGATGTGTTAATGGTTGCTTATAATGCTTTCTGTTTTTTTTTTTTTTTTAAATTCTGTTGAGTATCTATGGCTGTCTCTGCTGTTAGTCACAATCTCCTTTGACACTTCTTGTAAATACTAAACCTCCCTTCTCTTTTCAAAATGGACTAAGACCTCCCTTGCTAGGTGATGTCATTGGACAAAAACCTTGCCTCTATTAGCAATCTGTCAAGATTCATTTGCATGTGAATCATGTGCGTGTAAAGTTTTTTAAAAACCCATAATTTTCCCTTTGTGTACCCTTTGCCTTTAGTTCCTTATATTTAGAGTAGACTGGCCCTTTAACTGAGATTCCTGTTTCATCAACTGGTAACCAGGAAAATTTTATAAAAGAGTAATTATTTACAAAAAAAATGAATAAACTCATTAAAACTTAATTAGCATGATGAAGAAATTCATCAACACTTCGTTTCTGAGACAATGATGCAAGAGATTGCAGTAAAAAAATGTACTATTCAAATTTATCTGTTTGGATATGGTACACTATGCATGCTTACATCTAGACTAAAAAGGGTATTGAGGTCTACTGGCAGTTGAAGTTGTTCCTTGGTTGAATGGATCAAATCCACAACAGTGTTTCTACTTTCTTCCAACATTCAAAGTTCAACTGGTTTGCCTTATACTTGAAAAGTAAAAGCTCAAATTTGGTTCTCTGGGTAGAATGCACTATAATGCTGTTGGGTGTGATTAACCACTGACTGACAAAATCACCATGTGGAGGACCAATATGTGCATTGCAGACACCAGATCTCAAGATCTCCAGAGAAGCCATTACATAGAAACCCTAAAAGCAGAATTTGTGCAGAGAGACAAGTGAAATAAGAGAAACTTAAAATTAATTCTAAATTTAGAAAGGGAAGAGATAAAATTGTTAATTAAATTAGAGAACACAAATGCACACCCACACAAACATTCTTCTGTAAAGTTGTTTGATTCATTGTTCTAAGCTCAGTGAGTCAAATTGGAACTTGATTCAATGGATTTTGAGTCAAGTCCATTTTGTAGAGTCATTTTCTGTAAATACAGAGTTGACACAAGCTATTGGGTATAACTCATCTGAATGGGTTTAACTGGCCACCAGTTTTTGGTATTTACAGTTAACTGTCTTCTTCTAACTCTTTTGTATGGCAGAAAACATGGTATCTGAGCATTTGCCCCCCCTAGATATGAGTTTTTATTCTTACTCTTTTTTTTTTTCAATTGGACTGGGTACTCTTATCTTTTGTGGCCTGATCGAACAAGACAATTTTGTTTCTCTTTTTCCGGGTTCTGGGGTTGCAAACTACTGATGTTGATGCTATAGGACTTCCAGCTGTATGGCTAGGATTCTCAGATTGTGGGCACATAAGGTGTGTCTGGACTGAAGGTAGGACGATTAAACACGCTGTACACATGCAAAAAACCTACATCAGCCCATAATAGATCTGAGAACACACTCTAACCTGGTTCATGGGAGCCTAGATGACCAGGAACTGATCTGTGTGTATCAAAACTTTTGTTGGGGATGGAGGAAATGCTGATTTAAGTACTGTTTGGTGTATGTTGACCTGTGATTACAATGGCAGCAGAACTGTTGTAGTTTGTATGACAAACCTGATCATAAGACCCATAGATGTGTATCAACCTCAACCAGAAAGTGAAGTTGGGGAATGGGTGTTTCTTTTGTTGTTTTGGGTAATGACTGGAATTGCATTGATGAGCTACATGATTTATTTAAGGGTGCTAGTTGGGTTGCCCAGTTTGAATAATTTCAACTATTACTTGGGCCCTTTCGAATCTTAACAAAATCTGAACATAACCCGACTGAAGTTGCACCTCAGATATATATCACCTTTAGGGTGTCTGCTCACCATGGGCCAATGCTTGGTGTGTGTAATGATAAAATTTAAGGTTGGCAAGTATGAGAGTATGGCTTTGAGCAGTGTTTTAAAAGGCGTGAGAGGTGTATGCCTGGAGGCACACCTCAATCAGAAAAGAAAAGGGAAGAGTAAGGAAGGAAAGACCCCCCCCCCCCCTTCAACTAGTGTTAAAAATCACCCTTCCTCTTCTTCCTCCTCCCCTTCCTCTTAAGGAGGCTTATGCCTCTTATTTTCTGAACTACGCCTCATGCCTCTTGGTAGTGGAATGCCTCATGTTGTGTCATGCCTCCCATGCTTTAAAACATTGATTTTGGGTTTGAGAGTGGCCACTTTGTGTGAAAAAAATGCCAAAGGCTAGAATTGAATCCAGTCAGCCCCTCCAAGGTCCCCAAATATCTGGGACCAACATTGGATAATGTCATTTAGGGTATTTACTCACTTTGATTCTATTTTATGGTATCTGTTTGTTTCATGATTATTGATGATGAGTTGGTGAAGTGTCTATTTTTTACAAGATCTCTTTTTTACAAGGGGCTGAATGAATTTTTGCAGCTGTAAGAAACTAAGAATCCATCATGCTTCCTTCTAAGGTGGATGAAGCAGGTTTAGAAGCTTGAAAATCAAGAGATATTTTACTCTCTCTCTCTCTCTCTCTCTATATATATATGTATATATGGTTATTTATGAAGGAATGTGGAAGATGCATTTTATGCCCTTAGTTTGTAGGTGTGCCAGCTCCTCCAAGGGTGGGGGCATTTCTGTGGCATGCTTTCTTAGATAATATTTTGGCTCACCTAGTGTACAAAGGGTATCTCTGTTCTGAATTGGATGGATCATGTGTTGAGATAACCTGGACCTGAATTCTGTTGATCATTTTCTTCAAAGATAGGATTCTTCCATGGTATAAAATTTCATTCACTTTAATTTTGGTATTCAGTGATACCTGCTAGATCTTATCGGACAGCTTTTTCTTTTATGACTGTCTGAAGTTTTTAGCTCCATTGAGTGGATTTTGTCGAGGTTTGTTCCTTTTTCCATCTTTGGAAGCAAAGAAGTAGGACTTTTTGTAGCAACCTTTTTTTCTTGGTAAAATTTTTGTGGAAATTACTTCCTAGTTGGACTAGGTTATTAAATTCTCATGAATGTGGTAAGCTTCATTTTGAACTAATTTTATTTTATTTTTGTTTGATATAGTGAATTGATGCTCTATAGGGCATGCGTTGAAGAAAGCTTTTGTCCTTTTAGGCCTTGCTCGTTTATTAGAAAGCTATTTACTTGGGTAAGTTCACTTACCTGGGCAAGCATTACCTAGGAAAAACTTGCCTGTTTTGTCAACCTTTCCCCCAGGTGGAAAAGTTACTTGCCCACCTGGGAGATTGGTATCACTTACCCAGGTAAGTGATACACAGGAAAGTGATTCTTCCATGGGTCCTAGATGAATCCGGAAGATGAACATGGGAAAAGGAGTCAATGGGAACCACAATCCCATTGACCGATTTCCCCGCTCTTTATAATCTGAGAAACGAATGGTGCCACATATATTCTACCTATTTGTTGGTTCATTAACAATCTGAAAGACCTTTAGATTGTGAACAAAGGAACAACCACTGTGTATCAGTCTCTGGACCTGGAATTCCCCAAACAAGGTTGATTTTCTACCCTCCTCTAGCATGCAAGTCAGGCACTGGCTGATCTAGGAACCCACCCCAATGAACTGTTTGGCAATGAAGCTAATGATTTAGCTTCTCTAAGTTGGATCCTAAGAGACCATACACGATACACCTACTATCGCAAAAGGCATCCTGTCTAAAACCACCTGCTAATTCTCTTCACTAGTTAAAGTGGACCAACCTAAGGGCAAGCTACTAATAATCTAGCTTAAGTCCTTGCAAGAGTGATAGCAATTTTGCCTGTTAGATTTATCAATAAAACAGAACAACAACAATTCTGCCTGTTAGGAGTTGTCTTCTACCTACTATTTTTCAACAATACAATTTGCTTTCTTTTTTTCATAAAAAAAGAAGCCATGGCAATATGATAATCTATTATTATCCTGCTGTAGGCTTCTGATAGGGATCAACTCAAGGCATATCAAAAGAGAACCAAAGCTGCTCCTATGCTTATTTGGCATCATTATGATGAAGCGGAGCCCACATGGGAGCTGGGTTAGCAGTGGATCAACTTGGGAAGACCCTAGAGTCTTCAATCCACCTTAAGATGCTCTTTGTGTGGTTGAGTTTGTTGCTGGACAGGGCTTATTTGACTTTCTTACATTTCTGGACAGTAAGGGTATTTTGTAATTTTGCATGTTTGGGGACAAGTCATAGTCTAGTAATTTCCCTTTGTTTGGCTTTACGTATGTAATTGTTTGGGGCAGGTTTACTCTAATCTAGCTTTTTTTTTTGCAAGTGACTTGTTGGGCAAGCTAATTTGGGGGGGAAGTTTCTTCCTTCGGAAGCTTCTTTCTTATTAAACTTGTAAGGCTCATTTGAAGAACAGGTTTTTGCTAATGAACAAAGAAAATTCTCTACAGAATTTGGTCTGATTGCCAAGTTGGGGGTGTGATTGCCCTTACCCTTAAGTGTGTTTGCCTATGGCTTTCATCTTATTTCCATCTCTTCTTTTCTTCCTCTGTTAGTTCTTTGTTTGTGCTATGCAGCTAGACCTAAGTTGGTTGTAAGAATAGTGCTGAATCACAAAGATCCCACATCAGCTTCAGACAAATTACATTTGCCTTTTTCTGATCAAAAGCCATCTAAGCTTTCTTTAGTCTGGTCCCCGGAATGGACCATCTTTATTTTCGCTTCCTGGCATTAGATAAAATGCTAATTCACCGTGGAAATGCTTTCTATGCCATTACTTTTTACGCTAGACTATTTAATTGGTTGGCTTTGTTTTTTATGAATAATTCACTAATTTTGTTGTTTGTGTGATTAATTTTAATGCTTTGAGCATTTCTTCTGGATGCCCTTCTGTTTTGGAATATGTGTTTGTGCATTCAATTTTCAGTCTGCTTTATTTTGAAGATCACTTATCATTTGAGCTGGTGCTAGTTTTTATTTTATTTTATAAATTTCATTATTTTAAACTTGTGTTGGTTATTGAGTGATTCCATAATCAAATCCATGCAGGAACCAAAGAATGACCGAGGATCAGTCGGTGGTTGGTCGAAGGAGAATTTATTATGATCAAAATGGTGGAGAAGCTCTAATTTGCAGTGACAGTGAGGAGGAAATAGTTGAGGAGGAAGAAGAAAAGAGAGAATTTGTGGATTCTGAAGATTATATCCTTCGGTTGGTATATCCATAAAACCAAATGAAGTTTGTGAATTAATGGTTCTTTTTCTTTTCCTGCTCTTAAGATTTCTAACCTCTAGAAATTAATGGTTGTTCTTTTTATGTAAATTATGAGGGCTGTTGTTTGTTATTCTGCTCTTTTTCTGTTTTGTTTCTTGTGTGGAAGGATATTCTCAACAGTAAATTCATGATTTCATGAATTGGATCACATATGGTGGAGACTGTCTGTTATGTTTCATAATCATCATCATCCAAGCCTCATCCCATCTATATTGAGTTGGCTACATGGGTCCTGTTTTCATTCCATTCTATTTAATGCCATGTTGTGTTTAGTCTTTACTAATTTGGGGGCATGCATGGATGTGTCAAGCCATATATCATGCCTGAGTGCCTTCATATGGGTCCTGAGTAGATGACTAGATTCTCAGTTACTTCAAAATGTACTTATCTGATGTCTATTAACTATTTCTTATTGTATTTTTTGTTCTCTGAAGCTTTTATATTCTAGTTCTGCTTTAAGGGATACTCACTTTGCCCTTCATGTTCTATTCCAGAATGACCATCCAAGAGGTTGGTTTATCAGATGCTGTGCTGGATTCATTGGCACAGTGCTTTTCTAGAAGTCCTTGTGAGGTTAAGGTATGCTTCCAATGATAAGAAGTGTGATACCAGTTTTTGTGAACTAGTTTTGTAGTTATAGTAAGAATTTATTTGAAAAACTGGTCATAGTGTGAAACTCTGGTCCAGCTGTTTCCCAATCATCTTGTGCTGGCTTTACAGAGGTATGAAACAACGTCAAACATTCTATACAGGCAAGATATGAAATTCTTATGAAGGGAGAGAAAGATGCACAGTGCGAGAAGAAGGGTAGCACTGATGATAAAACACAAATGGATGATTCATTTTTTGATAAAGATTTAGATGCAGCACTGGATTCTTTTGACAATCTATTTTGTCGGCGATGTCTAGTAAGAACCATTGTTATCATTCTCTATGTTGTGCTATGATCTCTGTGATCACTTCTTCCAAGAATTATTTCTGATGCACTTCATCTTTTATTCTGGCAGGTGTTTGATTGTAGATTGCATGGATGCTCACAGGATCTTGTCTTTCCTGTATGTTGATTATCTTGAGGTTCACGTTGTTTAGATGTTTGTTGGACTTAAATTATTTTTTATTTGTTCCTATGATATCAGGCTGAGAAACAGCTTCCATGGAACTACACAGATGAGGAAAATGTACCATGTGGTGTGAATTGCTACCGGCTGGTACGTAATTTGATGTGCTGGATATGGTTGCTGTTTGTTTATCTTGTACTTCTCCATAAAAGTTTGGTATAAAGATCCAAATTGATACATTAATCCCTGGGTTTGTCCTGCTTTACTCATGTGGTCTCAAGTTAAATGATGTCTCAGGCCCAGAAACTGGAAAGCAATGCTATAAGGAGCTCTCCTGTGCACAATGGTCTTGAAGAAAAACCAGTTCCTTCATCTGGTAGTGCTGGGGACCAAATATCTCCCAGAAAGAAAGGTACTAGTTCATCTGTTGGCAAAAAGCTAAAGTCTAACCAGAGTGAAAGTGCTTCATCTAATGCGAGAAATACATCAGAAAGCAGCGAGTCAGAGATAAGACCCAGGCAGGATAATTCTTCCATCCACAATTCTTCATCACCTCAGAAGGCTAAGCTTGTTGGAAAATGTGGAGTTCACAAAAGAAACAGCAAACGAGTTGCTGAACGTGTTTTTGTTTGCATGCGGAAGAGACAGAAAAAAATGATTGCTTCTGATTCTGACTTCGTTGTGAGTGGATGCGTTTGGCCAAGAGATATGAAGCTTAGGTCTAATTCACGCAAAGAAAATGAAGAGGCTACTTCTTCACAACGAAAAGTAAAAACTCCACCTACAAGAAAGCCTAAGAAGAAGGAATTACCAGCTCAGGACAGTAGCAAATCCACATTTAATGGTCATGATGAACCATCTGATGAGATGGTTAAAGGCCCACCAGAGGCTATTAGTGATGAGACCTCAAAGAAAGAAGAGTTTGTTGATGAAAGCATTTGTAAAAATGAAGCAACAGGTGATAAATCTTGGAAAACTATCGAGAAGGGCCTTTTTGCAAAAGGTTTGGAAATTTTTGGAAGGAATAGGTTAGTACATTCCAGCCATGTTGAGAAGCTATCTTTGGGAAGGACTATTTTAAGTGCATGTAGATTTTATTTATTTTTATTTGTATTGCCAGGTGATCCCTGGGAATGTGATTTTGAGAATTTTGAAATAACAAACTTGTATTACCTCAGCATCCAATCAAACTTCCTGATAATTTTAACATATTCCTAAATGAAAGTCTTGAATTTTGCCTGATAAGTTGCTTTGTTCCAGAATTCAGACAATACAACTTAATCTTCTCAACTATTTTAGGTACTTAAAATTCTTAGAGATTGATATTTTTCTTATAATGTACTTAGTTTTTTCAATCTGTTTTTTGTTTATCATTAAAGGCAATTCAAAATTGATCTATTTATAATTAGATTGAACAAGAATTCACCCCAATCCGTTTCATTATGATCCTATCTGATTATATAAGGTATATGTGCTTATATTTACATGAAATTAGTAAAGATCTATTGACAAATTGGTTTTGATGTTGTATGTTTACCAAAGAGATGGGTTCAAGTCCCATAGAAGTTATTTGCAAGTCATAATATATATTATATTATACAATATTAAAATCATTCCTGAACACCCCCCACCCCCCAATCTGAAACTGATGCTAATCTGATTGGGGACATGCCGAACTAACATAATAGGGGCAAAGGTGGCTTTCTCCCTTGATGTCCCTTGAGAAATGGGTTTGTTGGCAATTCTAATTGTCCAGTTGGTTTCTTTGGTGATATGTGGTTACTAATGAAATGAGATTGTCAAAATAATGAATCAAATGTTGCAAGAGTTCTCTAGTCTTTCTTGTTCCTCTTAGGCTTTATGGTATTACCTATCTGAATATTAATCTGTGGAGAATGTCCAGGATGAACAGAGGATTTGCCTGGAACTCTTTGCCTAAATAGCCCATATGAGTGGAACTCTTCCCTCTTGTATTCTATGAGTGGTCAATTCTTAAGTATGCTGGTGACTAGTATTTGTAATGGTTTTGGTCTGTGTAGGAGGTTAATGTGGTACTGGGTAGAACCATAGAAGGCATGAGTGGAAGAAAATGATATTTTACAAGGCGAGTGGTTTGGGGTGAAGGGGTTGGCAACAATGAGATTGAGAGATTTGAAAAATGGTTTAAGAATCAAAAAAATATTATTAGGAAGTAAATTAGTGAGGTGTTGGTCAAGATCAAGGTTGAAGAATAAATAACTCAAAACCAAGACTAGAAGCAAGAAAGCTATTATGATTTGAAATTATCATCGTCGATTCATCATCTAAGCCTTGTCCTCCCAATTGTATGGGGTTGGCTACATAAATCCTGTTTTTCCATTCTATTCTATCCAATGCCATATCCATTTTTGAATTTTGAGTGCTTAGGGCTGCTTGGTTCATGCTTAGGGTCTAAATTGGAATCGGAATTGAAAACTGACTGCTGGTGGTTTTAGCAGCGGCAACAACAGAGGGAGGGAGGGAGGGAAGGGGAGTTGGCTGTTCAAGTAGGGAGCGTTGGCAGGGATGGATGAAGGGTTGGGAATCTCATACCCAGGGAGTCTGTAAAGGCCATCCTAACATATGAGGGAATCCCATTCCAACCAACCAAACAGCTGGAATTGCAATGGACCTTTCCAATTCTGATTCTAGGTGCCTACTTCGGGTAATCAAATGGACCCTTAAATCATTTCTTACTACAACCAAAGTCCTTTTTGGTCTGTTCCTATCAACTTCAAACAGACCACTTTTTTCTTATAGGTGCTGTACATGGTCTTCTTTGCACGCCACCTAACCATCTTATTTTATTTTTTGTCATTTTATCATCTATTGAATCTACTCCTTGGTTCCTTTGACTTCATTTTTTAGCACCTTGTCCTTTCATTTCTTGACTTGAACAAAATAGAAACATAAATTAAGAACAGTAAGAACTTGGACTGTGGCGTTGTTACGTTTTTCTTCCCTTTTGGTTTCCTTTAGATTCTTTCTTCTCTGTTCGGCAAGGGTGTGGCAATTTTCTTGAAAAAAGGGGAGCAAGATAAAAAATTACTGAAGAAGAATAAACAAGGAATGCATTGTCCTTCTGTAAGGTTTCTAGAATATCATGGCTCAAGATTTTTTTCTATGTAGAGTTCTAGGAATCCTTGCATTGATTTGGTTATTCATTTCGTATGGGTTCTTTTGTTTCTCTGAACAGCTGTTTAATTGCAAGGAACCTTTTGAATGGAATGAAGACGTGTGCAGATGTCTATCAGTACATGAGTTGCACGGAAAATAAATTATCAAACAGAGTAGGTGATGGTACAAATTCTCTGGTTGAAGGCCATTCCAAGGTTGATTATAATGATACTATGGTTAGTATATTTTTATGCTTCTGTACATCTAGTATCTGGCCCTTCTTCTCCGACAATAAGCAAATACCTCTTCTCTCTCCCCCTTTTCTTGCTTGGTACAAACTACAGGGTAGTGAACTGCGAACAAGATCAAGATTTGTGCGTAGGAGGGGTAGAGTTCGTCGGTTGAAGTATACTTGGAAATCTGCTGGTTACCATTCAATTAGGAAACGGATTACTGAGAGGAAGGATCAACCATGTCGGCAGTTTAACCCCTGTAATTGCAAGTCAGCATGTGGAAAGCAGTGTGCTTGTCTTCTAAATGGAACCTGCTGTGAGAAATACTGCGGGTAAGTCACTTTAAATTTTTGAGAGGAATATATGTATTTGAATAGCTTATCCCTGAAGATTTGTGGTCGTTATTGTGTTATTATGATTCTTATACGTTTTTCTTTGTATTTTCTCTTGGATTTTCCATTAGGAAATGTGTTCTATACATGGATTTTTTTAAAGGACATTCTCTAACTTTTCACTAATTCAAGCAATTATTTCAATCTAGGCTTAAATATGTTTATCTCAAGTAAGTGTTTTGGTTTCTACTGTTTCTACTCATTTTCTCCTCGAATTTCCAATATAGGTGCCCTAAGAGCTGTAAAAATAGGTTCAGAGGTTGTCATTGTGCCAAGAGTCAATGCCGAAGTCGTCAATGTCCATGTTTTGCAGCAGACAGGGAATGTGATCCAGATGTTTGTAGAAATTGCTGGGTTGGGTATATCTTGCTTCCCCCTTTTTCCTTTCTAGAATTTGCAATTTTAAGATGGTTGTAGAATTCGATTTCTTCATCTTATTTATCATTTATTCTTATTGCATCAGTATTGCTGTCATCGGTTATTGTTTTTCATGGAAGTTCTAATGAAACAATTGATGTAGTTGCGTTTAAAATATAAAAAATTGCATAATTAAGTTGAAGTTGTTAATGTTTAACAAGTTGAAATGATGGTATGAAAGAATTGCAGATGTGCAAGAGCTAATATTTAGGTCTGAGGTTCAAACCTCCATCACCTGAGGGAAAGATGTAAACTGAAACCTTTATAATCATTAACCACTTTCTTTTTGAAAGATGAAGATAAATTGAATTAAATATAATAAGAAAAGCAGTAAAGGGAGAGGTTCCTTCCAACCATCCATTACAACCAACACACTAGCTAGGAAATTGAAAGTCGGATTATTTGCCAAGGCCTCATCAGATAGCTAGGAAATTGAAAACAATAGATAGTTGCCTTTACTTAGAATTGTAAAAGATAGCCCTGTTACCTCCTAGTACACTTCAGCAACTTTACATGAGGAACTGAGGATCTATTCCTGAATTTGTTTAAAACATGGTTGATTTGTATAGCCTCTTTTGTCATTTATTTTTTGTTTTAGTTTTCACCATTAGCATGCTACAAAGTTTTTTCATTTACGTTCTGTGATATCTCATGACAGTTGCGGTGATGGTACTCTTGGAGTTCCGTCCCAAAGAGGTGACAATTATGAATGCAGGAACATGAAGCTTCTCCTCAAACAACAACAAAGGGTAATATTACTTGGCCAATTAAGATTTTTGCTTATTTAGTTATTTGCAATACAAGATATCTTGTAGCTTACTCCATATTGTTGGAATAAGTCTGTTGAGTTTTTTGGTAGTAAGGATGATGATATTATCTTGACCTTGTTGGCCTTGATAGTGTCCAATTCTATATGATAACTTCACTTTATAGCAGCTGCATGAACAGTATTTCTCTTTCATTAAGTAGAATAAATTTCTATAGAAAGTTTATTCATATTTTTTAATTCTTTATATTCAAAATCCGATTTTTCTGAATTGAATTCACAAAACAGTGGTCAGAACTATGGTGCCCATATTTAAAAACAATGATGATATACAAAGTTGTAATAATTATTGTGGAAATAACTGAGCAACGGTTACTAAGTTGATAGAAAAGTTCAGAGAGAAGAAGAGAGAATCTCCATATGGTTTTTAATTTTTCATTGATCTAGAGAAAGCATATAATAGTTTCCCAAGGGAGATATGTGGGCTTAAATAAAGGTCATGCATGAAGATGCAAAAACTAATGTTAGAACATGTAGAGGGACATCAGATTTTATGGTTACAATGGATTTTCTCCAAGGTTCAGCATTTTGTCATAGATGAATTGAGCAAGTATATTCAAGATGACATAGTACTAATTGACAAAACTAATGAAGGATTAAATGCAAAATTATGTTAATGAACAATTGCATTAGAAACATGACTTACCAAAAAAAAAGTTACATTAGAAACAAGAGGTTTTAAAATATGTAGGACTACGACAGGATATATGCAATTTAAATTTAACAATATTAGGAGTGCAAATCAGTGTAATCTTGGGATGGAAACCTAGATATAACTCATTGTGACCTCTTTTGTTACCTTGGTCGATAATTTATAACGAGGGAGATGTTGAAGATGTCACCCATAGAATGAAAATTTTATAAAACAGTTGTAAGATCAGTTATGCTGCATGGAGTATAGTGTTGGGCAGTCAAGGAGCAACATATCCAAAAAAAATGAGTGACAGAAGTGCTAGGATAAATTTCAAACAGCACAGATGCACCGAGTCTGGATGCAGGCTGAAGAGTTTCATGCTGTGAATTGATGAATGCCACCCCAGTATCAGCTGAAATACAGCATAGTGTGGATGTATAAACAGCATGGGTTATTAATTTTTTCTATAAAATGTGGAGCCCAAGTAAAAACTGAAGTAGTTAGAAGTGGAGATGAACCTTTTTCTCTGGCATCATTCTAATTGGAATTCAGCTTTGGTTCATATGCATCAACAGGTTCTACTTGGAAGATCCGATGTATCTGGATGGGGGGCGTTTCTAAAGGTAACTTTTCTTACATATGGGTCTTATATTATCATTTGTTTCTTCTTGTACTAAATAAATAATCTTCAATTTCTCCAGAATAGTGTTGGCAAACATGAGTACCTTGGAGAGTACACTGGAGAACTGATTTCACACCGTGAAGCTGATAAGCGTGGAAAGATTTATGACCGTGAAAATTCATCATTTCTTTTCAATTTGAATGATCAGGCATGATCTGTACCAGAAGCCATAGTTGTTTTTCTTTTTCATTGATTTCTTAGTTATAACCTCCTTTCTTTCTTTCTTTCAGTTTGTCCTTGATGCTTATCGTAAGGGTGACAAGTTGAAGTTTGCCAATCATTCACCTGATCCAAATTGCTATGCCAAGGTTCTCTCTCTCTCTCTCTCTCCCTCTCATGCACATTTTCTGTTTTCATGAGCATGCACGGAATGTTAAGCTCAATGCCTTCGGAGCATTTCTTTCTTTGAACTAGCTTTGGATGTCTTAGGTGTTGGGACTCGTAAAATTGCAAAATTCTTGGTAAAGGAAAAAATGATGTATTGCCATTTTATTTATTTTCTGTTTACGTGATTGCTCATGCTGCTCATAATTCTGCTTTAGGTCATCATGGTAGCTGGGGATCACAGGGTGGGTATATTTGCCAAGGAACGGATAAATGCTGGAGAGGAGCTTTTCTATGATTACCGTTATGAGCCAGATCGAGCTCCTGCTTGGGCAAAAAAGCCTGAAACTACAGGTTCAAAAAAGGAGGAAGCAGTTACTTCGAGTGGTCGGGCAAAAAAGCTGGCTTAGTTAAAGCAGTTCCTTAAATAGCAAATCCATTTTTTGCCATTCTTTTACATTGTGTAAGAAACATAATTTCATTGGCGTTGAGATGACATTTACATCTCCATCCAGGAATTTCCAAATTTTTGTTCTCCCATTGCAAATTTAGTCAATTATTGTCTCTATTTTCTATTTCGAGGGCCTTCGAGTATGGTCAGCGCTGTGAGGGCTATAAAGAGATGATGTATTCATCTGATTATCTAGATTTTGGTCGGTGCAAGCTTTTAGCCATGTAAGAGTAGTTGGCTATATCGCGGCTTTTTCCACTAAAGCATCCATTGTGTTTTTGTTCCTAATTCCAGAGGTTCTTAGGTTTACTGAATGGTAAATTGGAGTATGGACATGGATATTTTTTTTTTTCAAAAAACTGATTTAGAAATAAAATATATTCTGAAGTTTTAATCAAACGCAAGCTTAATCTTGCAACACATGACAGAAAGTCCAAAAACAACAGACTAACCGACATTTTAACCAAAGATCTCGAAATCCTTGTTCTGAAAATGTCACGACGAAAGTACAAGCTATTAATGCTCATGAGGCGTGATGACATGAAAAGGGAGATCTAAAAGCTCTTGTTGAGTGAAAAATGACCGTTTCCCACGCTCAAACCTGCAATTAAGATAATTTGGTAGCATCTAGCATGCCCCTTCACGAGTAATTGTGTGAAGTTCGAAAAGGCAAACACAAAAATATATCTTCAAAGGTAAATTTCAAAACTCGACCACGATTTCCCAACTTTTACAGGCCAACCCTAGATCAATAATATCTTACGCACACCTTTCAGGCTTCCACAGCACAAGTTTGAAGATAATAATTTAGCAGTTGAAGATGGAATAAATGTGCCAATTTCCAGCCATATTAGCACCGACACCCTCCTTCCAAAATGGGTGACACTCACACCGCACCCTGCAACATTTTTGCACTACAAATTTGTTGCCACGGCATGCCAGAATCTGGAACAGTAAAAGTGCATTCGCAGCAAACAACTCTTTTCCAGCCAAAAACTCTGAAAACCTTTACATCAAAACCCGCATTCCTGGAATCAGAGAGCCATATATGGAGTTGTCGTACTTCCACTGGCACAGCCATCCAGTTTAAGATCGTAACTATACAAATTACTGTATCCTGAAGAGGTTCTTGAGCTTCACGACTAGCCTCCACTCCTCAAGAGAGAGATCTTCCTGTATATTTTAAAACAATCACAGAGAAAGAATTCAACTACACCATTCAATCATTCAATTATTTACTTGAAAGAAACGAAACAACTAGAAGATTTTATTGAGATTACCCGATAATTATCTTTTAGTACATCAATTGACCTCCTTGTGATGTGGCTAACAAGCTCATCATCCTCCTCAAAGTGCCTTCCATACATTTTTTGCTGCTCCTCAGGATTTGTGCTAGCTATCTGTAAAGTACAGTGTAAGTGAATTATGCCCAATATGATCAACCAAACAAATTGTTGGAAATTTGCAATTCCAGTTCACTATCCTCTACCTTTATGGCCACCTTCTGTCCTTTCTTGGCTACATCAACCTGTCTGTGGTTAATTTCAATGGATGCAATCCGTCCAATGTCAATAAAATCTCTTGAAGGAACACAAATTGGGGTCCCGACCTGAGCAAAGTGCAGTATAATTAGAACTCTGTTACGTATGACTGTAAAATGTATAAAAATAAAGCAAGGCTTGCAACTATTTAAACACATCTTATTTATTATTTGGGAGGGGGGTCTTCCTTTTTTTCTCAGGTTTTTCATCTTCCAAATCCCATAGAAATACTTGTTTTAATATTTAACTGCATAATTATGTAAAGCTAAAAGCACCTTAAACAGCTCATGCAACACACAAATAACCAAGGATAAAGAAACACAGAAAGAGGATACCCTTGCAATGCCTTCAAGAACATCAACCCCCAAGACAATTGGATCCTTCTTGTTAAAAATGCAGTTTGGAATAATCTTGAGAACACATGGGAATACTGCTTCTTCCGCAGCTTCTTTCTTCTTTTCTTCCTTGAGATTGTCTATGTAAGCCTTGAACTGATCAAACAAGTGATAAATGATGTCAGCTATAAATATCTTAACTCCAGTCTCATCTGCAAGCTCACGAGCCTCAGGTGTCACTTTGACATCAAATGCCAAGATTGTGGCATATTCCTTCTTCCGCTCAAGCATGACACTGGCCCTCATGACATCTCTCTTGTGTACTGGGCCTATGCTTATTCCACTGACAGGTATGTTCACTGCTGGACTCTTCAAGAACTCCAACAATGCTTCCAAGGACCCAAGAGTGGAGGCTTGTACACAAACGCCCTCACCGCTCTTGTCAATTCTATTCATAACTGACTTCATATCTTGCATGGCTGCCTCTTTGATGTCTTCTAAATCATTGTCAGGCCCTATGACATACAGACCAGTGCCTGCAATTGCATGTTCAAGGCCCTGCAAGCAAACACAATACAAAAAGGCAGAAAAAATGTCAAAACTTGGATAAAAAAGATTACAGTGGGAAATTCAAATCTCTTGCTCTCTTTGGATGTATGCTTGTGTGTCTGTGTGTGTATGCAGCTATAAAAGTGCATTTTGGCAAACATTCCAGAATGTAATCCCACCTGTGCAGATATCTTGATACCCTGTGCTGCCTTAAGCTCCTTATGATGCAAAAAGTCTCCCTGCAAATAGATAAACAACTTGAGTTTTTGTTATATAATGGTTTGAAAGGAAAAGGCAATCAAGCCTTATGACTTGATAGAAATTAGTAAGCCTCTCTTTAATCAGTAAACAAAGAAAAAGGAATTACTTTCCAAATAAATCCAAGCAACCAAACTAAAAGGTTTGTCAAAATAATTTCATCAGACCTCAAATGTGTGAAGAAAATTATTCCCACTGATGCATATGATTATAATGAACCACCAAAAAGGGGGGAAAAGATGAAAATGCATGGTGTTCCTACCAATTTCATGTTTGTTCTTGCATTTGTTTCTCTCCCCCAACAATTTCTTTGCTCCCAATTTGACCACAGGAAACGAACACAGCAACTTGCAACTTCCACAGGTAAGGGTGCAAATTCTCACACCCAGGTTGAATAATTTCAATAGAAACACCACTTCAAAATTTAGTGAATGCTCAACCTAGGCCCACCCAAGTTCTCCTTAAACCCCTACCCATAAGGCCCAGTTTCAGTCATAGTTTTCCAGGCACCAAAGCAAGGCTAGTCAACAGGGGGGCACCTTGTCACCTAGGTGCTGTCCAGGTGATGGATTTTTTTAAAACGAAGACCATGAATCCTAGGAATAATTCACTAGGTTCCATAACAACTAGCAGCCATCTTTCACAAGTAGTTGTCTATAGTCTTCATGAAAAAGTATAAAATTCTTAATAAAATATAGAAATCAGCATATCCATGAGAAGAAAAAGAAGAAAGAAAAGAAGAATTCAAAAAATATAGAGACTGAGCCCCTGTTTTTGTAAGGATGATGATGAGGACAAAGAAGAAAAAAAAACTTAAGTTCTTCCTTGCTTATCGCTTAAGGTTTTGAAGTCTTTGGGGTTTCAAAACAGCATACATCGACATGTGTGTTGACTATAGCCTAACAAAAACATAATAGAAAGAAGCTATTATATAAACCCACAAAATGAATACTCTAATTTAACAATGTCTATTTTGTTATTCTAATCTCAAAAAAATAAAGTATATAAAAATATTTCATAAGTACAAAACAGATAGGTGCTTAAGTGAGGCACTCCCCATGGGTGCCTTGTTGCTTAGGCATTGCCTTGACAACTATGGTTTAAGCTCATCTTCTCAAAAAGGATCCTCTTTCTTGTATATTCTTGTATTAATCTCCCTCTAATACAATTATTAGAGAGTCGTCAAAAGCTATAGTAAGTTGTCAAAGATTAGTGATGGGTGTTGGAGATCGATTTGAAAAGTTGGGTTTTTTGAATTCGGATCCTGAAGCGGTGAAGGTGGAGGTGGGCAAAATCAGATTGGAAAAGTTGGGGTTTCTCATGAACAAGAAACTGAGTGCTGGTGTTTTCCTGTTCTGTTTCAAAAGAAGGTGAGGTGCTGAGAAAATTTTAGAAGGAGAAAAGGAGGGTTTCACAAGCTACCTTGAAATGAAACTGGAATGCTGGTGTCCAAGTTTAGGGCAAATTGCAAAGCAAAAAACATTTGTTTGGATTGAAGTCTTTGGCATACCTCTACATGTGAGGGGTACCAAGTACCCAGGCATTCAAAGATACAGGAAACACATGTGATAAGTTCAAAAGATTTGATTTTCGTAATAGACTTTGGGAGCAAATTCAATCGGCAAGAACCTGATTGAAATAGAGGACCCTAGTTTGATTCTAATGCTGCTCGATCTTTTCTATGTGGGAGAAACATACAAATTGAGAGTTTGAAAGGAAAGTTGTGATCCAAGCTTTCAGGTTGGGTCTTTTTTAACAAATGAAAATCATTGAATCAGGCTCATTTTGTGAAGTGAAAGGATCAGTTAGGAGAAAAGAAAAGAAGACCGAATATTCGAGGGTCCTCATGGACAACAAAACAGAGGAGAAAGGTAAAGGTGATTATCTTTGGTATATCAGCCGGTAATGATTATAGGTTTCAAGATTCAACTTCTGGAGGCTTAAATGAGGAGTTTAAAGATGGGAAAGTTATCTAGTCTATGGTAAAAGAAAGCACTGAGAAAGAGAGTGAAGGTGAGGATCAATGGAGAGAAGAAGGATTTCAAGCTACTAATGGTAGGAGTGTAGAAGACAACTATAGCGACCTAAGTAGAAAGGAAAATGGCAAGGGAAGGTTTTTTGTCTGATTTAGGCATCAAGAAATACTCAATTGATAACATGTTGGAGAGCCACACTTCCCCAACGATGACTATTTGGGATGTGGAGGTTGGTTTGATTTTTCTTGTCTTTCTGGAAGTGCAACAATAGTTTATTAGACAAAGGGGATTTTAGAAATTGTGCCAGTTCAAGAACAAGAAGTATTATTATTCATCAAAAAAAAAAACAAGAAGTATTATTGGATCTTGATGATGGTAGTACAAAAAATACAAAGATTCTAGAGACAAAAAAATGGAAATGGTATGTATGATGAAGGGGAGAGGAAAGAGGAGTGGTGCTAGGATGTTGGAAGAAACCGAGGGTTTGATAGAAGCTTTTTTTTTGATAGGAAGCAACATTGATGGAATAGAAGGGTTGAGGAACATTCTGAGAATAATAAAGAAAATGATAAGACCACTGAGGAAGTAGATACAGAAAAGTTGAGAGGGCAAAAAGGAGACCGTAAAAAGGAAAGCAATAATGATTGCAACAGGTCCTAGGGTATATGCGAGGAAAAGAAAACACAAAACCTTTAACAGAGCTTGAAGGAAAAGAAGATGAAGATGGAAGCACTGATACAGAAGACTGTGATGATAAGCTTTGAGTCATCAGAGGAAGATGTCATAATTGATGAAACTCATGAAGTTGAGGACACAATTGATGTGGAAACAGTAGTGAATATTACGGTGGATGTAAGCAAATTTTTTAGCACTGCTCTTTATTGGAGGAATGTGCGAGGAAGAAACTCAAGGGCTTGGAAAAAAAATTGGCAAGCCTCTGATGGGTAAGGAAAACAGTTTGGCTCATAAGGAGGCTTGCTACAATGAAAGAAGTACAAATATACAAAACGGGGAGAGAGAAAATGGAGATGAAAGGGTTGGGATTGAAGAGACTCATGGGATGGTAGCAAACTAGATATTTGAGAAGAATGTGGTCTTGAAAGTTGGAACTTGAAAGGATCAATGCTAACTCTCTGGACTTCAAGGACATTGAGAAGATTCCTAATGGAATAAGAAGGTTCAGAAATCAAAGAAATCACTGTACTATATGAGTGTCCAAAGTTTTTGCCAGATTGAAGATGGGTTTTTTAGGGTTATCATATCGTATCTGTGACCTCCCGAAATGATTTTTAAGGTATTTCCGGAAAATGTTGTGAATAGTTAAATAATCTTAATTCTGAAGTTTTGAAAAAAAAATAAAAAATGATGTGTTAGGTACGAAATGCTGACACACCCCTTCCGGTGTATTGGGGTGTATTGATACTTTGAACCTTGGTCCAAATTTCCGAACAAGCTGATTAAATGGGTATAAATGGTGGGGGGTTTGTTCTCTTGTAAGGTTACTAAAACTGTTTGGGAGTGGGTACTCTCTCGCTTTGGGTGTACTTGGAACCCTCCTGAGAGTGTCCAAGGTTTGTTCTCCCCTTCGTTTTTCA